AGCATTGTCTACATTAGAGGCTGGCACCGATACTGATATTGTTCCCTAGTCTAGACAAACCCTTAAAATCTCCCTCATCACTTTTTGAAAACCTTCCTCCTTCAAGTTGTTAGAGGCCTGGGGAGGAAACTTCTTGAGGAGAAACTGAATTAAGGCACAGGCACTATGGGCCCATGCCTAAAGCCCTAGCTCCTAGAGTCATTAGATTACAACAGAATCTCAATGTTTCTTACTTATTTTTTAAGTTTCTAGTCCTCATGGTTTTCAAGCTGGTCTTCACAACATGAGACAAGTGAAACTGATGAAGTGATATCCATCTCAATCTGCAGGAAGCCTGAAACAATAGCGCCAAGAGATGTGACTTGCCCCATTCATCCCAGTGGGGTCTTAACTCCAAGACCCACTGCTGTGGGATGCCTACATATCATCCCAGCAGAGAGCTCAAGGGGTGGCAGGAGAAGAAGAATGCAACAAGTCCTGCCCACCTAGGCAGACATTCCCTGAAACTGGACTAAGTACTGCCTCCCTGCATCAGCCACACCTCTCTGGGTGGGGGAAGAGAGGACTAACCCTGCTGATACTCAGGGGGTCAGGCCAATTTGCCCCATGTCACTGCCTCTCCGGAAGCAGAGGGGTGCATGGGGGCTTTTACCTCCTGGGAGCTGTGGGAGGGATTCTTCCTCTTAGGAGTGGTATCCCTTACCACTACCCCTGCTTTGCTGTTATGGAAGAGGGCCCCCCCTTGCAGCTGATCTGTGGCAGCACTTCATGTCATGATGTGGCTAGGGCCCTGGATCACCTTAACATGACCTTGCCGGAGAGAGCCACTCCCATAGGACTTTAAACTCGTAGGCAAATACAGATAGCAGGTCTTGTACGTAAAGCCCTGGACTGAGAATTGAGAAACACGAGTTCTGTTCCTGGCTTGGCCACGGGTAGATTATTAAATATTTTAGGTGCCACTGAAATACAAAGTCCCAACCAAGATTGGGCCCCACTGTGTGCTGTGCTACACACATAGACAGTGTCTCTGGCACACAACTTAATCAAAACCAGGCGAGACAGAGGGTTGGAGGGGAAACAGAGGCATCAAGAAGAGACATGACTTGCCCACAGTCAGACAGCAGGTTAGTGCAGAGCCAGGGATAAAGCCCAAGCAGAGGGTGAAGCATAGTGGGGCTGGAACTTGGGGTGCTCCTGCACTCCCTGGGTTAAAAGTAGGAATAACAAAATACCAAAAACATTGTTTCATCATCGGTGCCCCAACTATGAAAAATTGTTCCTGCACACCTGGTGCAGCATACTCACTACTTCATGCCCAAGGCACAGTGTGGTGAGAGGGGGAGAAACACACCTCTTAATTTCATTTTACAGCCACTTTCAGACAGCTAGTCCCATGGGGTACTAGCTGGGGGGGGGTCCCAGTACCCCAGTGAGATTTTGGCCAGCCTCCACTGATACCCTGCTTCCCCATCATTGCTTCCCGCTGAGAGGAGGCAAAGCTCATGCACCACATACTTGAGCCTGAGTTGTGTCTCAGTTTCCCCATCTATAAATGATAAGCAACCAGAATCTGCAGCGTTTGGAAACAAAAGGAAGGGAAACCGCTGTTGCAAGACTGGGAAATAGGCAAGGCCTTGCAAACAAGAACATGCACAGTCCTCCAAAAACGGGGGTCACCCAGCTATTCATCCACATCACGAAGGTGGCTACGTGGCTTCACCTTTCAGTTGGTCCTGCATGGCTGGCGCTTCCTCTACACTCTGGGCTCCGTGAGCAGCAGAGATACCAAAGTAAACAAAGGCAACAGCCTGGCGGGGGGAGGGGGGAGAAAGAGTACGGCGGCTCCTTTAAGAAGCCATCCCGGGCGAGCCGCTGCTTCTATGGCACTGCTGCAGGAACCATGCCCAGGCCGCGGGGAGCCTGCAGAGGACGGAGGCGGCCCAACCCCCACGGGCTCGCGTGGCTCAGCAGAGGGGCCGTGCAACTTTCTCCCCAGCCCTGGGATCTGCACCGCGGGACGCTGAGAACTCGGCCATAAATATCCCAGCTTAATTCTGAGCCAGCATCAAATCCACTTAGCAGACTTAGCCCCGAGCCGTCAAGGCTGCAACAAGGGAGCCCTGGGCGGGCTGGAGAGACAAAAGCGTCATTCATGGACCATTGCAAGGCACGGGTGCGATTTCTAGGCAGATGCTCAGTAAAGGGGGGAGAATAGCCTCCGCCGGCTGAAGAGTTTATTCGCCTCTTCCTGCAGCCCGCGGAACCCGAAACAAGGCACCCACGGGTGGGGCTGGGATTGCCAGGACAGGGTTTCAGAGCTGTTGTGTGGCCCTGCAAAGGGCCCTTCTATCTGAAAACAAGCGGCTGGCACTGAGGCCTGCCGCCTGCTCTCCAGGCTGGTTATTCAAGGAGCTGCTGTTTTCTCAGCCGGCCTCAAGGTTTGGCTGGTTGGGGAGACTCTGGGAAGAGACAGCCCCGGATCGCGTTAAACACAAGGGTTCAGTGAACGTGCATCCAGCAGGCAGGCAGCGCGGTGGTGTCTCTGTAGTAAGGTGCAAACGTACGCAAGGGAATCAAAACACCGGGCAACAGGCGCCTGCGAGGCAATCTGGGGACTCTGAGCAGGGAATTAGAAGTCACTTCAGTACAGCCCTGGGAATTATTATTTGTTTAAATAGCTGAAACAAACAACGCCAGAGCGCCACGGGACAGCACATGGGAGGAAGTCTGAAAAGCAGCGCTTAGTATCCTAGCGTAACCCATCCTCCTCCGGCTGGAAAACATACCATCATCAGCTCGACCCATGAGGCCGTGCCTTTGGGTTTATTCCTGGCCTGAAGATACTCTGGAGAACCCTGGCCTTTCCAAGAGCGGATGGGGCTAGAGTAACAGTATCCCACTCACACAGCTGGAGGTCTTGGACATTCACCGCTCACCCAACCTCACTTAGTTCGGACACGTGTGGACACAGCCTCCTCCTATCACAAACTCACTGCTGGTTACCAAAAGACGCACACGCATGAGAGTCACCACGTGTGGAGGCGACAAGAGAGAAACGGGCAAAGAGTTTTTTTCCACATAAAAGTGGTCATGCTCCGATTTGTACTCTTGCTTCTATAGCAGCGATTTCCCCCTGCCCCCCGAAAGGCAGGTTGAAAACACACAAGCCAAGGAGAAGTGAAGCCTCATCACCTCCCGCAAGGGCACAATGTGAATTTTCAACAACTTTACCAAAAGCAGCACGCCACGACGTCCAAGGGTACCATATACCCCGCATGCAGGGTGCGTGCTATTTTAGGCCATAGATATTTACTTCGGTAATTCACAGGAAAACCAATGGAAGCCCGGGAGATCAGACCTGCACAGGATTTAGTGCCAGGTCGTGTGTTATCTCCAACGAGAACACCCCACGCCCCTTGCCCGTATACTTCAGGCGGAGGAGCGGAAACAGTCACACACCTGCAGCAGAGACCTGGCAAAGTGATATTTCGCTTCTCCTCTTGTCAGAGCTAGTAAGAAACACCTTGTGCTACTGGTGTCCTGATTATGCAATAATATAAATGTTTCAGCGACTGTGCCTTCGTTGGTGTATTAAGGGGTAAGCAGTTAGAGAGGACAGTTAAAGATTAAGCTGTTTTGGTGGAAAGAGACAAGCCCACTACTCCAAGGCACAAGTTTATAAATATAAAGAACCAAAATGTATGCGATTACAAAAGGCTCGTTGTGTCGCACTGGGAGCGAGAAGTGGGCTCATAATACGATGCATGCTTTGCCCACTTCACTCAAGTCAAACTAATCCCTAATTACTATTTCACAACCAAGTCGGGCCAGTGTAACTATTTCAACTCTTGCTATTCCTGAATTCTTGTGTTACTTAAAAATCTCGCGCACTTAAACCGCTTTCCAGGCGCGGTAAGAAGCACATAATTAATTACAAAACAGATTCTGTAAACAGACGCAGAGATTGAGAGCAAACAGGTCTCCAAGACGAACCCGTTTATATTTGAACTAGTCACAGTTGGTAAGGTGGCCATCTGCCAATGTTTACTGACCCTCTGTGAGCCACTTTCATTAGCTGCGGGAGAGACAGCTGTCTACAATGACAGAGGGGCCCCAAAAGCTACTCCAGCTCCCCTGCTAGCACCGGTTGAGAATTTATCGGTATGCCACCTGAACACATGCGATACCCCCCACACTAACCCATATGGGGAGCGCCAGAGGGACAGATATGCCATTGGGCTCCTCTCAGACTAACAAGCCACCGCTCCATGGTGAGCTGGTATCCCACGAAATGCGTTCCACCACGGACACATTCGTGTTGCCCAGCTATTAGGGAGTTTGGTTTTGGAGGTTGGGGTCCGGGAAGAAAGCAGCAAGCACCTCCCCTGGGCACGGCTGGGCGAAGCGGAGGGTCGGACCGAGGGGTAGCCAGCGGGCAGCCTCCCGGCCAGCGCTTGGAGGAGAGCCGGGCTGCAGGGAGAACGGCCCCGAGGAAGATACTACTGGCCTAGAGAGGTGACAGCCGGGCACCTCCTCTGCATCTCCCTCTGCTCTGAAACACCTTGCGGCTGCTGCTGCTCTGCGCCTAAGCGCGTCCCAGGCAGCTCCGTCCGGAGCGCAAAGCGCTGCCCGGGGCTCTGGAGCGCGTCTGGCTGAGCGCAAAGCAGCAGGAACCGCTTTACTAGAAGCGGTTAAGAGCGGGATCTGGCTCCAGTGCTCACCAGAACTTGCCCCGGCGGCAAGCAATCCCCACCTACCCTGCTCCCTGCAAGATCTGTGCCTCGGATACTGAGCCTGTGGGGTACGACAATCCACGCAGCCATGTGCTTTAACCCCTCTGAACCAGTTAGCCCATTAAGCGGAATGGGACTAACATAGGGGAAAGCAGAGCGTGGGGCTGCTTTCCGGGTGTTTTGTGGAGTGGGGGAGAGGACCCGGTGACCAATGCATCGACAGACCCTTAGAGAGAAGGCCAATAAACCCCAGCCAGCTCTTACTTTTCGTGCTGTGCGTTTTCCTGGATGGCCCCCAGGATCGACGGCCCTGGCCCCGCCGGGTACGCAGGGAGGATGCCCTGTTGCAGCCTGCATGTGGCCAGGTGTCTGTGATGCTCGTCCTGCAGGCAGGCGTTTTCGTGGTACAACTTGGCCACTTGCTGCTCCAGCTCGTCGATCCTCCGCTTCTGCTTCTCCAGCAGCTCCTGCTGCGTCTCGATGATCTTGTTCAGCTCCTTCAGGTACCCCGCCGCCTTGCTGGGGTTCTCCGCCGGGCTCTCCATGGCCTGGCCGGCCACCGACCTCCCCACCCCTTGGAGGCTTTGGGAAGGGGCGGGAGGCGCTGGCCGGGCTGCTGCGCTGAGAACTTGAGACGGAGTGGGGGGGAATAAATCACCCCCCCGGCAGGGCCACTCCTCCGCTGGTAGCCGGCTGCCTGGAGCTAGGGATGCCCAGGAGAGCGCCAAAGCGGCGCGCAGCGGCTCCGGCTCCGGGCCGCCATTGCTCGTGCTCGGCTTCCTCCGCCTGGTCCGGACCGAGGGGACTGAGCCAGCCGGGGCTGCAGCCGGCGCGGTGTCCGCAGCAGGAGCCGCCGTTCTGCGTCCGCCTCCTCCGCGAGCCCCGCCAGCGGGAGCGGGCTCAGCCTCTCGCCTGCGGATCTCCGCGCCTCCGGGAAGCCGCCGCCAGCAGCAGCAGCAGGGGCGCGCAGCAGCCCTTCAGAGAGCAGGACACGGGAGGCGAGGGGCTGTGCCTGCTGCCCGGCTGATCGCCCGGCGCAGCCCTCGCCTCCCTCTGCCTGGCCGCCGCCGCCGCCGCCGCCGCCACACGCGCCGCCCGAGTCCCTCTGAGCCCCGGGGCTGATGCGCTTTAAGTAGCACCAGCTGCCTCCGCCGGCGGCAGCGCGGAGTTTGCAAAGTGGCGGCGGGTCGGGGGCCGCGAGAGGGGCTGAGCGGCAGGAGCGGGGCTGGCGAGGCGGGCGCTGGACGCATCCCAGCGCTGCCCTGCGAGAGCCGCCGGGCTGATCCACCCCCCGCCCCTGGGCACGGCTGGGCGAAGCGGAGGGTCGGACCGAGGGGTGGCCAGCGGGCAGCCTCCCGGCCAGCGCTCGGACGGAAGCGGGGAGGACGGCCCGGAGGAAGATACCACTGGCCCCGAGAGGTGGCAGCCGGGCACCTGCTGTGGGCCGTCCCCTGTCGGAAGCAGGCTGGTCCTGCGCTGCACCCAGCCCGGCCCCACCGCTGAAGGAGAGGGGCCCACGGTGCACTCAGTGGAACACTCCTCTCCAAGCCAGTGGGGAGGGGAACCCCAGGTGCAGGTGGAAACCTCTTTAAACCTCGCTTTTTGGCGGGGGGGGGGGTTTCAATTTCACTAGACACCCCTGCCCTCTATCCCCAGCGAGCTGGGGAGCAAATAGAGTGAAGAAGGGTTTTCTTAAATGTGGGGGATCCTCCTTAAAACGGCAGGATCCTTCACTGGGTGTGGTACAGCCATGCACCTACCCAATCACTCACCCCTTCTGACCCTGCAGAAGGCGGGAAGCGGCTTAGAGTCTTGCTCTTTTAGTAACACGGCTCTGCCACTCCGGGCTTAAAGGCAGGCCAGAGATTGCCTAAGGCCATACTGCATTTTTAGAACCATCGACCCAGCCTTCAGCGATGCAGGAGTGTGAGAGACCTGCTGGAAGAATAAGGCTTCCTGCTGGAACATGGGAGTAATTACTATTCAAATAGCACCAATGTGCTGGGTGCTTCAGAGATGTGACCTCACTCCCAGCCTGCCTGAAGTCATTTTTGCTCGGGGTAGTAGTGCAGTGTACCAAAGAGGCAGTCTGCCTCTTCCAGCAGCCTCCTGGACATTTCAAACCTCTTCTAATAGAAACACTGCGGTCTGTCAAGACTGCATCAGGCTGGAGAAAGTTATGGGGAATCATGTCCCTCCCTGTCTCATGGCTAAGTCCAGGAGAATGGATGCAGAGAGGGCTTAGAAAAATAGGGAGGCTCATAAAGGAAGTGCCAGTGGGGATGTAGGAAGGAGAAGGATGATGGAGATGTGAGGGAACTCTGTTTTCTTTTCCTCTCTTTTCTCCCTGCCCCCCACTTCTTTTGCTTCTTTCCTTTCTTCCCCCATGTCTTTCTCTTCCTTCATCATCAGCTCCCTCCCTTGACCCCCAAAAAACAAAGTTTTCAATGTCTCTAAATGGTGTTGCTGTCTTGTCAGTAATTCGCTGGTCCCCTCCTCTGCAGAGTCAGCTCTTCTGGAGGCTGCATTTTTCCTTCTTGGCCAGGATACATTGCCTCTGGAGCATGGCTGATTCAGCAGAGTGGAAACCAGAGGGCCAGTAGCAGCTCTGGCTACTATATTAGGACATTATCACACCTCTGCCCCTATCCACAGGCCCAGCAGCTGAAAATTTTCATAGCATCTTTTTTTTTCTTCAGCATAGAACATTAAAAACAGACACATACCTCACCAAACTACAGCATTGGCCCAGCATTCAGATTTCCTTTTCCATCTCCCCAGTACAACTGACTTATGAACATAAGGGGAAAAACAAACCAACAAAAATCCTGAAATGAAGAGATTCCTTTCTGGCAAGTAGCCTAACTGTATTAAAACTTTTATTTTCAAACTATTTATTATCAAATCCCATTATTTCACCTTAGATGTAGTTTCCTGCACTAAAGGGCTGTTTTTTAATGGACTAATTGAATCATGAAACAATGTAACTTATAGCACCAGTGAGGACTAACACTCCTGTGAATGGGCAGAAAAACCCTTTTGGTCTGATGAATCTTCCACGGCCTCTGTTAAATACACTACAACTACACTACACCTCATCCACCCTGATTGAATTGGCCTCATTAGCACTGACCCCTCACTTGGTAAGGCAACTCCCATCTTTTCATGTGCTGTATTTTTATACCTGCCTACTGTATTTTCTACTCCATGCATCTGATGAAGTGGGTTATAGCCCATGAAAGCTTATGCCCAAATAAATTTGTTAGTCTCTAAGGTGCCACAAGAATTCCTCATTGTTTTTACTACAACTATTGTAACCCATACAGAAGGTGATAGGTTAAGGCTAAAATCTTCCACAGCTTGATTACCTTTGCCTCACTAGAAAGTTGCTGAAAATTATTGCAGCTCCCAGTGATAAAGTGCTGTCTATACTGGCGCTTTTCAGCACTAAAAATTTTGTTGCTCGGGGGGGTGTTTTTTCACACCCCTGGATGACTAAAGTTTTAGCGCTGAAAGTGGCAGTGTAGCCACAGCTTTAGAATGTTTCAAAATATTTGTAAACCTACCGCAACTCATCACACTGGAAAAAAGTGTGTACAATTTTCATACAAATTGCTGAAGAGATGTAAAACATGAAGAATCTCTCATCACAGCTATTCCCAGATGAACAAAGTGCACAATATTAATTGATGCAGCCAGGTTATTCATCACAGGGTTAAATCAAGTGGTAAAGAGTGGAGAAACTCATATATGCACAATAAAATGCAAACACCCAAAATTCATTAGTGTAGCTGTATACATTAAAGACTTATTAAGTATTTCACATGTAGAAGCATAGCAGCCATTAGTACAACTAGTATCTGCTTAAAAGACATTTGTAGATAGAGATTCCTGTGGCCCAGGCAGCACTGGCATAAGTGACACTAAACTTGATTGAAAGAAACATTTTCCTCTTCCTGGGGTTACGATTTTAACTTCTTCCACAGATAAAAAACAGAAGCCCCTCATTTCTTCAACTACAGAGCTATGGCATGTTTACATGGCTAGTACCCTTTAAGATAAGCCACTAGAGGAATAAATAAGCTAAATCAGAAAGGTCCCAGCTGTCTGTCAAGAGCCTCTGCTTTCTCTGAGAGAATAGCAGTAGTTTGTCTACCTTCCTGAATTCATTAACAAGCTAACGAGAACTGCCTGCTGTCAGTCAGAAGTCCAGCTGCTTTTTCTCAGCCGCACTAGAGAGGGAGGAACTCACACCCACTCAGCAGGAATTCTACTCTGAGGGACCCACCAGCTGGCCTGGAGAGAGAGAGCACATCCAATCTCCAGAGGCTCCCTAAGAGCAACAGCTGGTTTCCTAGACCCCCACTAGCGTCCTGATACGTTGCAAAAGCAGGGTAGTTGCCCTATAGGGCCAATTTCAATGTTCCCTTGATTCCCAAAGGGCCCGCATGCCACATGATGTTGGATACATTCAGAAAATTTGCAAACTCAGAAAATAAGCATATTAATGGAATCAGTAACGCACTCAGTTTCCATACCAATGTGGGGCAGGTGCAAGCGGTTTGTTACAACAGATCCAGTTGTACTGTAGAACAATATAGGGAATTCCAGCCTAACCTGTTTAAACATGGAAGCTACAGAAATAGCATTTTGCTTATTTGCAATCCTATTACCTTGGGATAGGACCCTGCCCATTTTCATAAGCTAATCAGGGGCTGGTCGATTCTTGCATGGAAAGAAAGTGCACGGAAAACGTGCATGCTATAGTAAATATTGTTGATCATTTTAGGAGGAGGACTTTCCCCACCTAGCCAGTAATGAAGAAACACCCCTTGTCAGGGTGACGGGCCACTGTGCTTTCAGCTGAGAAGTATTATACCACAGTTTGACCTCTTATGGTCATTCAGTAGCCCATGGCACTATTTGCAAGAGTAAGGGTGTTAAATCCTGTGTCCTGGCAAAATGGTGATGGAAGGGCCCAGATAAGAAGACTATCATTCAGATACTTGCTCATTTTATTGCCTTGAGAGTTTACCCTACACCTGGTTCTCAGTTTATGATTATGGGGGAAGGATGGTCTTATGACTATGGCAATAAATTAGATTCAGGTAATATGAGTTCCATTCCTAGATCTGTTGCAGACAGACTTCCTGTGAGACCTTGGGAAATCACTTAATCTGTTTGTGCCTCAGTTTCCCCATCTGTAAAACAGCAATGATATTTCCTCTCTTCTGCCCTTTGTCTGTCCCCTTAGACTGTACATTCTTGGGAGCAGGGATTGCCTCTATTTATGTTTGTACAGCACATAGCACAATAGTTTTCTGATCATGGTTGGAGCCTCTAAGTGCTACTATAATGCTAATCATAATTTGCTAGAGCCTGTTGGACACTTGAATTCCTCTTTCTAATGAAATTCTGAAATTTCAAAAATATTTGTTTTGATACAGAATAAAAAATGAAACAATGTTTCCCACAGAACAGGAATTCCAAAATTTCATTTAGAAAAAAGTCAAAACATTTCAGTATGAAATATACGTTCTGAAATATTTCCAAAGCTCCCCAAGCTGCCCAGAGAGCCGGGCTGTCTCAGAGCTAGCTTGGAAGTCCTGACTCCCCAGCTCCCTGGCTCTTCATCTGCCCACAATGGGGGCTGCTGAGGAGCTGCCCGGTAGAGGAG